GGGGCCCGGCATTTCCCGTGGGTTTCCGGCGTTATGGCCCATCACTGCGGCCGCTGGGGAAATAAAACGGGTTTCGGCGCCGTGCCTGGACCGTGCCGGGCACCGCCGGCAGCAAAGAGAGCCCGGTGCGGCCTTCGGGGCTTCGGACTGACCGACGGCGGGGACTGGTGGCTCCAAAAACACCTGCGCCTGCAAGAAGGCCCTCCGTGGTAAAATATAAGCGCTATTGCAGCCACCAAAGTTGAGGGAAGCAGGGAGCATCCTACTACATTCCCGTTGTCAGATGAGTGTGTAGGGAGTGTCACCAGTGGGAAAACAAATTACAGCATCCCGCTGCCTTTGAAAGCCATTTTGAACAAAAATGTTGATTGGGCATATCATGATTAGTGTTGCAAACTCAGCCATTCAGATGAGGGAATGAACATTGTCTTGCATTTTATGACACACAATTTCTCAGAGACTTTATTTCATCTTTGAGCTTTCCTTCACTCTCAGCACCGCCTTTTCAGGGTCGAAGGCGTTCTCAGAGACACAACTACAGTCTGTTTTGTTTGCTATGGTAAAAAACCTTTTCGTTTGGGTGACCACTGGAATTTATTTAGCCTAAGTTGTTACCACATGCCAAATATTTTCTCTACTTCTTCTATATTTATCATATATGTTAAGTCACCACCACCACCCCCAGCACCCACAAAAATGTCTGCTTTGCTTGGCTTATAAAGGAAAAAGCTCCTTTTAAGGAAAGACACTTTTGCAAAAGATAACACTTGCTTGTTTTTACCATATCAGCAGTGTAAGAAAAAGGAGAAAAAGAGAGGATGGGAATTTTAATGATGGCGAGACATCCCCTTGCTTATGCATGTGGATTCATGATAGCTATATATGGAGGTATTACCACCATCCTCCTTTTACTTGTCACTTCTTGGCTTATGGAGTGAAGACCTTCATTCATACTCTGAAATTCAGCATTTCATAAGGAGTTTATGAATTTCCATCCTCTCAAGGATGCCCTTTTCTAGGAGAAAGGCCCACATCTTAGAAGTGCTTCTTAACAAGAATGGCTACACTGGCTCACACCACGGTTCTTGGAACACTACCCCTGAGGGCAGCTGGGAACAGCAGCAGAGCAGGAGACTGCGATTATATTTTCCCCAGTATCAACTTCCAGTTTTCAGCAATCTGCACCTTCTAGACTTCCCGAGTCAGAGGTGGTGTCTTTACATCTAATCATACCTAATGGATTTGTCTTACATTAATTTGCCCAGCTGCGTTTTGAGCCCATCTGAGCTTTTGGCATCTACAGGATCATGGAGCAATGGACGCCACAGTTAAATTGCGTCGTATGACAGCAGTACTCAATTTTGTTTGGTATGGAACTTCTTCCTTGGTGGTCCCCAGCTCTTATTAAGAAACAATCACTGATCATTCTCTGTTACCATCTCTGTAGCAGTCACAAGTCTAAAACATATTTCTTATAATTCCCTACCTTTTCAATTGCCCTTTGCTGTAAAATATGTGAAGAGGCACAAGGACTTAAGGGCAAGATTTTCCTGAAAGTTTTCACACTTCTGCCTACCAAGGGTGCGACAAGTATCTATGGTGTGTAAGTTCTTAGTGTTTAAAATAGGGTGGAGATCCAAAGCTCTGCGGGCACCTAACAGAATGACGATACCCAGTCCTTCCACTAATTAATACCTTCATAGAAGGTATGAAGAAGAAGAAACAATTAAAATGGCTATGTTGATGCCAGTGATTATTCAGATGCTGAGGGGGAGCAGCCATTCAGTTTTTGAAGGATACATTTTGGGTTTCACAGAGCCCCAAAAATTGGTCTTGTTTCTGGACAGGGGGTAGCTCCTCTATTTGATGTCTGAAGCAGGCAGCTGTTTCCTATTTTGCATTTGAAAGTGACACATCCCTTACAGAAATGTTGCTCCTGTTAAAAAGACACCGATGTAATTTGAGCTGAACGTTTCCAAGTTGCGGGATTAGAGAGATGAATCTAGTTTTTAATGGCATGTCATAATCAGAAAGTTGCGTGGAGGTTAAGGGTCACATTTCATACCCAGAGCCACTTCTAATCTCAAATATTCATCTCAAATTAGAAGCATCAGGAGAGAAAGAAGGGGGAGGTAACTACAACCTGGAGTTCATTAAAGTGCTACAAAGAAAGAGGAACTCATTAGGGAATAGCTGAAAAATACCCTTAACAATTGGGATTTCTGCCACTCTCAGGATCAAGAGGATGCCTGCAAATCTACCAGGTGAACTTCAGCAAAACAACATCCACCATACTAACAACTTTTCAGAAACTGCATTTCACTAGTGATTACAATGAACAAACTGTGGAACCTTTCCTTAAAATCACCTTTTAGGCAGCTAGCGCTTTGCATTAGACACATCTCCCTGGTGTTATGGACGTTTGCATTCTGTCGCACACCCACACACAGAATAATGCATAAATTTGCTTCTCAATAAAGCATGGAAACGCCTCTTTTTTTTCTTTTTTTCTTTTTTTTTTTTTCTTTCAAATAGATATGAAAACAACTGTGAACATCTAGAAATATGTTGTAACCGTTTCCAAAACATGATACAGAACAACAGTTACTTATCACGGTAATGATGATTCTGAAAAGTATTTCCTCCTGTCTGTACCAATGGTACACGCTCCTGATAGTGCTGAGTCCTGGAGACATTCAAGAAGGTGGTTCCTGCCAGAGCATCACACAGCACGTTTCGTTTGCAGGACGGCTATAAACGAGCTCTGTTGCCCTATCGGGGCTGCTCTACCCTCACCCACCACTGATGTTAGAAGAGACAGTGGCAGTGGGACTATGCGAAAGCAGGATTTTATCTGTTGGTGAGTGAGTGGTCCTCTACGAGGGTGATTTACACCGCACACACTTTTGATCAACACGAGACCCAAGAGACAACCCAAGGAACTTCAGCTGAGCCCAAGCCGCAGAGCGGCTTAAATCAGGGTGAGAGCTTCCCTGGCTATGAAGGGGAACCATACCTGTGGCACAAGTCCTAGCACAGGACTCCACGTGCAATCGTCTCGGTTTCTGATAGAAAAACATCAAAGGAGCAAGTCCTGGAGCTGCCTTAGTCCTGGCAGAGTTCTAGGGAGTTTCAGAACTGTCTCGTTTGCTATTGTACCGCATGGCCCAGTACACTTCAACATGCAGAACTACATTAGGACATACTGGAACATATCATGCAGGATATTTCATTTTGAAAGGTATAAATGAAAACAGCACCTCCCTTAACATTGTTCCCAATCATTAAAAATCTCTTGCTGGCCTCCTACGTGCCTCACTCCTACCAATAAAAACGCCCCACCTTCAGTGCCTGGAGCAGGAGTCCAACACTTCCACAGCTTTCCCCAAGCTCCCTTCCGCACCAAGCCCCATCTATCCAACATCGGGTGGCTCTTTCCAAAAGATTAAAACATAGTGAACCTCTCGTGCTGAAGGACAGTATTAGAAAATTCTCCAAAATCTGTGTGCGCTTTTATGTTCTCTCAAGTTGAGTATGTCAAAGAGTTAAACTGTACCAGATATAAATGTCTAGAAGTAAGAAAGCAGTCTGTCACGCCATAACCTCACACAGCTTTACGCTCTTCTTAACAGCCACCTTGCTCCTTCATGACAGGTAATATGAACATTTTACTCGGCTTTGGAAGGATGACAAGTAAAAGTGCTCTGAAAGAGACCCTCCCAAGTTGCCTGAGCCAGAAGTAAGAAAGCTGAAGGGGGCTCAGTAAGGCCAAGACAGGCAACATTTAAATGTGTTTGCTTCACCTCTTTGGGCAAAGGCCCAAAGATCTGCAACTTTAACATGCATTCCTCTTTGCCTTAAGGTTCTTCATTGGTATATCACACCCAGTCACCCCTTACGGCACCAGCTGGTACAATATCTTACAGAGTCCTTGAGGACTTGCCTACCGATTCATCTGTTCAGACTTTGCACAAACCAACCAGTTTCCAGCTGCACCCCTGCTTGGGCAACTAGACAAGCTCTCTAACTTGCTATAACTAGTCCTAGTGATCAAAATTGCTCATACCTGTCATGGCCAGTGAGGAAGGGATGTTAAAGCCCGTGTAGAAAAAGATACAATGGTGCAGAATCATGCTGGGACCAAAAATATATTGGGGGGTGAGCGTAGTGTGCCTATGGAGGGGTATGTTCAATTTAGAGGCTTTTCCTGGCTTAAAGATACTGTGGGTACTATCGGCACTTAGATAAAAGAAAACATTTGGAGGTAAAAATCTGACTGAGGACAGAGCTAAGATCGAGACTATATAAGAGTAACTGAAAGATTAAAAAAAACCAACCAACCAACATGACAAGCAAATTGCAAACCCATGTGCTACGTGCGTAGGAAATTCAGAGTTGAGGATACACTTAGAAAGTCCACACACACTAAGGTAAAATATGTCGTTGCAGCAGCTGGACAGCCTAAACTCTTGCCCTACAAAAAAACCCTCCACTTACTATTCTAAGATTATACTATTTCTACCTTTTCTAATCCCAGATAGATTACATTTCCCGGTAAAGACAGACTGCTTCCCTGCTGGGGGGCTGTCAACGGGCATGAGCTGTCCGGTTCGGTATCCAAACGAAAATGGAATTATTCAGAGCGTGGCATTTTCTCTCTGTTCCCTCGGCCTGCAATACCGAGGACTGCGACAAGGACAGCGTTTCGGTGACATTCCTCACTCTCGCAGATGACAGGCGCTCCGCTAACCGGGACCCGACACGGCTTTTCCTCCAGGACCCTTTCTGCAGC